ATCATTCCATTATGTGGTCTGTGCGCAATGGGGAATAGATTAACATTAGAGAAGACAAATGGCTTCATAGGGGAGTTATTGGGGGTCCACCTAATCGTGAGGAGCCTAAGAGGGTAGCTGAGTTAATTTTGCAGGAGGAGTCGAATTGGAATGAATCGATGGTACAGCAGCTTTTTGATGAACAGATTGTCGATGAAATTCTTGCAATCCCATTGAGGTCACATGACACTAAAGACAATCTGGTTTGGTTAAATACCAAATCGGGATCCTATCTGATTAAGAGTGGCTATAATAGAAACAGAGACCTTGCAATGAAACCAAACCCAAATCGAGGCTTCTTCTTCATATCAAACCCCGAAGCATTGTGGATAAAAATTTGGAAGGCAAACACGAACCGAAGACCAGATTTTTCCTATGGGCGATATGTCAAAATGCATTACCAACAAAGGTAAATCTATACAGACGAAGTATTGTACCAGAACCGATGTGTGAGCTATGTCACCAACATCCCGAAACTATTGAGCATCTTTTTCTCCTCTGTCCATGGACGAAACAAGTCTGGTCCAATCCTTCACTGCAAATCAAGTTTCCCAATCAAGGTCTCCCAAGAATTGAAGAACGGCTCTGGAATTTTAGCATCACAACTATAACTTTTGAGCTACTTGCGACTGTCCTTTGGCTTATTTGGAAATCAAGGAACAATTTCATATTCCGAAGACTGAAACCAAACCCAAATCAGCTGGTGAATTCAGCTCAGTTGAAGCAAAATGAAGCACGAAAAAGCAATTTAGGAAAAGGAAAAGCTATTGAAGGCCAACACTTACCTCAAATATGGCGAAATCCGCAACAGGGAGTCCTGAAGATCAATATTGATGCTTCCTTTATTGAAACGTTCAACATCGGGGGCAGTAGCTGCTGTGATGCGAGATAGCTATGGAAGAATGGTAGATGGTTTTGAAAAAACAGTGAGGGCCGACTCTGCAGCTCGAGCCGAGGTCAGTGCTCTTCTAGAAACGCCAATCTTCTGCTCTGAACGGGCAACGGATTGCCTTCTACTAGAGTCGGATAATTTAGACTTGGTTAAAGCCGTCACATGTGTAGATTATTTCAAGTGGGATATACATGTGCTTATCTTGAAAGCCAAAGATCTATTGAAAAATTTTACAGATATTAAGTTGGCCTTTTGTAATAGAGAGTCCAACAAAGTGGCAGACTGAATAGTGAAGGCTCAAAGAAAAAATGTTCTGCCACAGAATTGGAAACTTTACCCCCCTCCCGATCTTGAGAGTCTACTTTGTGTCGATGCTTTGCCATTGTACTCGCAAGCTAAGTCATGAGAATTGTATGAATATGGTTCTTCTGATCAAAAAAAAAAAAAAAGAACACACATGGTAACAATTTAGAGAGTTTTGTGGGAGAGTCTGTAATACTATTTTTACATAGAGGTAAATATAAGAACACACATGTAATACTATTTTTACCCCCCTCCCGATCTTGAGAGTCTACTTTGTGTCGATGCTTTGCCATTGTACTCGCAAGCTAAGTCATGAGAATTGTATGAATATGGTTCTTCTGATCAAAAAAAAAAAAAAAGAACACACATGGTAACAATTTAGAGAGTTTTGTGGGAGAGTCTGTAATACTATTTTTACATAGAGGTAATGTGACATTCCGAATTTTGGCACATTTTTGGGATTTATAAAACGTGTAATTCGTCAGTGTGCTTATAGTAAAATCTCGCCCGGGAACTGATCACTCCCGGTTATTGTTTTTAAAATTGAGATTTCGCTAGAATCGCATTCAATCGAATTTGGCCGTTATTTAGAGCCCAAATTTTGGTGTTGAATTTCTTGGAATTCCGGAACAAATTTAATTGGACGGTGTCGATATTAGTGTGGCCAATCTCGATATTACCCGGGATACGTGAAAAGTGAATTTTTGACCGGGTACGAATTTGGACTGGTAAATCATCCTCTGAGTGTGTTTTTATTAACACCCTTTTTGGCCAAATCCTAAAAATATTAATTAGGATTTTTCGAGGGACCGTTAGATCGTTTTTGGATTCGAATTGTGGCCATTGGATCGCGATTATTGCGATTTGACCACTCTCTCTCTCTCTCTCTCTCTCTCTCTCTCTCTCCCCGCCGGTCTCCCCTTTTTGCGTGTCTGACCCCCCCATGCGACTGTCACCCCACCCACTCTCACCAGGCCCCATCATTTCCTCTCTTCTTCCTTTTCTTTTCTTTTCTTCTTTTTCTTTTCTTTTCTTCCCTTCTTCTTCTCCTTCGCTGGTCTTGGTTCTGCCGGCTTCCGCTTGTTGCTGCGGCTGCTTCTTGCTTCTTCTCACTGCGTCGCCGGCCATCTTCGCCGGGACCAGTACGCCGCCTCCCTGTCGCGAGCCACCGCCATCCCGGCTTCCCTGCGGCCGGCGGCTCCCACCGGCCACGTCCTCGGCCTCGTCGGCGGCTGTCTCGGCCAAGCGCGAGCCGCGCCAGCTCGCCGGCCCGATCGCCGCCTTGTCCGCCGTCGCGGTCAAGCTCCGCTCGCCTCCGTCGCCCACCACCGCCGTCCAGGTGAGCTTCGCCGTGCGTCGCTCGTCCACCTCCGACCGTCGCAGCTGCTTGTCCCGATCGGCAGGGACGGCCAAGCCAGCCCGGGCGGCCACAACGGCGGTGTCTCCTCGCCGCCGCTCGTTCGCCGTCGTCCCGCCAGTGCGCGAAACCGAGCAGGAAGCCACCGCGGACCGCCCTTGTCGCCGCCGTCGTCCTCGCGTCGTCGCCGGCGTTAGCAGTAAGTTAACCCCTAATCCCGTGTTTAGGGCGTTAAACTTGCTTAGGGTAGTTTAATTTATGTTTAGTTTGTGTTAATTGTGGGTTAGTGGTTAATTAATTGTGTTTAGGGTATAAGTTATTGATTAGTTTATTGTTATTGATTATTATATGAAATGTTATTATTTTCGGAATTTAAATATTATTTTATTAGTTAATAAATTAATTCCGAATTAAATATTATTATTTTTATTATTAAATAATTAATTTCCGAAAATTAAATAGTATTATTTTCGAAAAATTTTCTAACGTTAATTGTGATGCCAATGTTGGATTTTACCGTATAAATTGGCATTTTTAGCAAATGATTTGAATGATTTTGATTTGAGAAAATATTTCGAATTTTAGAAAATAATTATTTTCGGAGATTATTAATTAATTAATTTCCGAGGTTATTTATTATTATTTCGGAAAAATCTTGAATCTCAAATTATGATTTTCAGCTTGTATGGTGACGATTATGGCGTGAATTGTTGTATTAAATTGATTAGATGGCTAATTGTTTATAATGGAAGTTTTCAACGAAAATTTGTGGGATTAAATTATTTTTGTGGGTATGCCAAGAATGACAGTGATGCATTGTGGTTGATAAACATGTTTGGCATCGAAGTTTGCAGGAATTGATTGACTGTTTGCATGTGTGACCACTTGGTTTGTTATGCGGCATTGTGTGAGCACTATTCATGGACGCATGGGCTAATTGAAAAGATAATAATTGGCCGGTATGCTTGTGTGCTCGTGTGGTCACACGTTAAAGCCGTCTTGCTGTGTATCGCTTGACGTTGCCCGATTTATCGGATGCCTGGGGATAATCTGGAGTGCCGATACCCCGGATGCCTTGTCGCGGCCCGAGGCCGGACTCGATGCTCCTTACGGGATACCATCTTACTGTGTATCGTTTGATGTTGCCGTATTGGAATGCCGTCATCCTGTGTATCGTTTGACGTAGCCGTACCCGACGGGGCGGGACGGAGCCCAGTTTTTACCGGTAGACCGCCATCTTGCTGCGTATCGCTTGATGTGTGGTGGCCCCGAGGGGGGCGTAATAATTGGAATACGTGTGATGCATAGTGCTTGATTATGGGGTAGAAAGCGCTAGGCATGGTATGGGACGTGCCCAAGCGGGTTTTGCCTTATAATCGAGACACGCGCGACTGTGTTGCATTAATGCATGGAAAATCTCGTTAAATGCTTCGAGTATGTGACATATGCATTTCATCAACGTGTGTACCAAGGCGAGGTGAGGATGCCTGTGGCTGTTAATGATGTTGTTGTTGCCGTTTCGCCTGTTTAGGGACCCCCGTGCGAGTTGGCCTCCTAAGCGGGGCTTAGGCCGTTAACTTATTGAGATTTTATCTCATTTGTTGTTGTTAAACCTTTTTCAGGACCTTAGCTTGTCGTTGCTTCTTATGCGGTTTGGAGTACCGTAGTTTTTGGTTGATCTTTGAGGGTTAGGCCTGAAAGCTGATCTTTTGGATGGAGTAGATTAACCATAACCTTTGTCTTTTGCTGGTTTTTGTGGAAACGCCCGAAGTGGGCCTGTAAGTATGTTCCCAGGGGTTAATCAAGTGAATATTAAAATGGCTTTTGTTATGTCTGGTTTTCCTCTGCTATCCCTGATTTAATTATTGTCTGGGGATTGTTGTGTTGGTTATCGTTTCCGCTTGCGTAATTCAAAGAATGAAAGAAAAGGGTCGGCGACGAGTCCTGGGATGTCGCATTTTAACGACCATAGCGGGATGTCGTGCGCCCGTGGGGTTCGGGGCGTGACATCCCCGTCCGAATTGGTATCAAAGCAAGGTCAGCTCGATCCAAGTTTGGTCGAGACCTGGAGTGATAAGGTGTGATGGGTTTTGGGATAGTGAGTTAGGAAGACACTAAGTGCCTGTGTTTGGTTGTTAGCTTTCTCGTTCGTAAGCAGATTGCTCAGGAATTTTAATTCCTTGTTGGAATTGGAAAGTAGGTTTCTGTAAAGATCCTGCGAGATGGACAATCCTGAACCGAGAGCCCCTAGGAGGAGGGCCGAACCAGGTCAGGCTGGTGCCAGAAGGAGAGCACCAGGGGATCCTAGATTGGACCAGATCCTGCAGGCTTTAGAGACTTTAATAGGGCAGCAGGCTCAGAATCAAGCCGCCGCTGGCTGCATTGCCTGCTTGCACCGCACTGCGCTGCATGCCTGTAGATGTTCCGTTAGGCGGCAATGGAAATGGGAACCAGCCCATGCACAAGTTGGTGGAGCAATTTCTGAAACTCAAGCCGCCCAAGTTCACTGGCGCGGGTGATCCTGAGGCTGCAACCCTCTGGATTAGGGAGTTGGATAAGGTTTTTGCCTTATTGAGATGTACAGATGAAGACAAGGTGACACTGGCAGTCTACCAATTGCAAGGTAACGCCAGTACTTGGTGGGAAGCTACCCAGAGGAGGGTATTTCCCGAAGGTACGGCCCGGGTGTGGGGTGCCTTCGTGGAAGCTTTTTATAATAAGTACTTTTTGGACTGCGCTCGAGAGCAGAAGATGAATGAGTTTCGGCGTCTTCGGCGAGAACCAATTGTCGGTAGACCGATGCTGAGGCAAGGTTTCTTGAATGTCCCAATATGCCCCGAGGTTGATTGAAGACCCAGTTGACAAGGCAAGGAGGTTTAGGGATGGGCTGAAACCTGAGATTAAGGATCAACTGGTGCCCCTGAATCTGAAGGACTATAATGAGCTGTATGAAAGAGCGCAATTAATTGAGAGAAACTTGGCTGAGAGGACAGCCGCGTCTGGATCGCGGTTTGTGCCAAACAAGGATAATCATCGGTTTGGGAAGAGACCGATGACAGGAAGTAAGTTCCACGTCCCTCCTAATAAGAAAGGTGGCGTGAGGAAACCGGTGTACAACAATAATGGCCCCTGTCGATTCTGTGGAAGACACCATGGATCAGCCCCTTGCCCTATGAGGACGGGAGTTTGTTTTGGATGTGGCCAGCACGGCCACCACGTGAGAGACTGTCCACGCCAGGCAGCGGGAGCGCAAAGACCAATGCAGCAGGTAGGACAACCTGCAAGTAGTGCCCCGCCGAACCAGTGGAACCGACCCCAAGTGCAAGGCAGGGTCTATGCTGTCACAAGGAAGGAGGCGGAGGACTCGCCTGCCGTCATTACAGGTACGGTTTCATTACACGACCATGCTGCCTATGCTTTGTTTGATCCTGGAGCTACGCATTCATTTGTGGCTAAGCAATTTGTGGAATTAGTGGGGTTAAGTCCGAAACCGCTGGGAGTGGTTTATAATATTTCTACCCCTTTAAAGGATAGTATAGTGTCTGCAGTAGGCTGTACTGGTTGTAGATTATCTGTTGGTGGTCGTGAGGACAGCATAGATTTGATTGTTTTGACGATGTTCGACTTTGACGTGATTATTGGAATGGATTGGCTCACCAAGCAACGAGCCACGGTAAACTGCTATCGTAAGACGATACAGTTTGAGCCAGTAGGGAGTGTCGGTTTTGAGTTTGTCGGGAATCGAGGAGGACCTTCGATCCCTTTAATCTCGTCACTCGAGGCGACTCAGTTATTGGATGAGGGTTGCCAAGGCTATTTGGCGACTGTAATTGACACTTTGGTAGAGGAACCTGGTATGCAAGATATTGCTGTGGTGCGAGAATTTTCGGACGTTTTCCCTGAGGAATTGCCTGGGTTGCCCCCAGAAAGGGAAATCGAATTTGTGATTGAGTTGGCCCCTGGAACGGAACCGATTTCTAAGGCACCTTATAGAATGGCATTATCGGAATTGAAGGAGTTAAAGGTTCAGATGCAGGAACTGTTGGACAAAGGATTTATTCGTCCTAGTGCATCACCTTGGGGAGCGCCAGTTCTATTTGTAAGGAAGAAGGACGGGTCGTTGCGCCTTTGCATCGACTATCGGCAACTCAATCAGGTGACGATTAAGAATAAGTATCCGTTGCCTAGGATAGATGATTTGTTTGACCAACTTCAAGGAGCTTCGGTATTCTCGAAGATAGACCTGAGGACAGGTTACCACCAGTTGAGAATTCGAAAGGAAGATATACCGAAGACGGCATTTAGAACGCGCTATGGACATTATGAGTTTACCGTGATGCCGTTTGGTCTGACAAATGCGCCTGCAGCTTTTATGGATTTGATGAACAGGGTGTTCAAAGAATATTTGGACAAGTTCGTGATCGTGTTCATTGATGACATTTTGGTGTATTCGAAGAGTTCAGAGGAACACCAACAGCATTTGAGGACAGTGCTGCAGACCCTTCGAGATCATAAATTGTATGCCAAACTTAGTAAGTGCGAGTTTTGGTTAACTCGAGTGGCTTTCCTTGGACACGTGATTTCTGGGGAAGGAATTTCAGTAGACCCAGCTAAGATTGAGGCGGTTATGAATTGGCCTAGACCAACGACGGTAACTGAAGTTCGGAGTTTCTTGGGATTGGCTGGCTATTATAGGAGGTTCGTGGAAAAGTTTTCTGCTATAGCCATGCCCTTGACGCGATTACTGAAAAAGGACACGAAGTTTGAATGGACGGATAAGTGTGAGCTTAGTTTTCAAGAGCTTAAGCAGAAGCTAACTACTGCACCTGTTCTAACGTTACCGTCTGGTTCAGGGGGATATGAGATTTATAGCGACGCGTCATACAAAGGATTAGGATGTGTTTTAATGCAACATGGAAGAGTTGTGGCATATGCGTCCAGACAATTAAGACCACACGAACAGAACTACCCAACGCACGACTTGGAATTGGCTACTATCATATTCGCGCTTAAGATTTGGAGGCATTATCTGTGCGGAGAAAGGTTTCATATCTATACGGATCATCAGAGTTTAAATTATCTATTTTCGCAAAAAGAATTGAATATGAGACAGCGTAGATGGATGGAGTTGCTGAAGGACTATGATTGTGACATTTTGTATCATCCGGGTAAGGCTAATATGGTAGCTGATGCATTGAGTCGAAAGTCCTCGATTGCGCATATGATGGTTCAAGAATGGATTTTGCTTGAAGGAATTCGAGACTCGGATTTCAGGTTCGAGGTAAGTCACCTCTCGAGTTTAATGGCTACTCTCAGAATTGAACCCGAAGTACAAATTAAGATTAAAGCAGCGCAACCTTCGGATCCTGAACTGCAAAAGATTCTGCAAATGGACGCATCTAAGAGGAAACCTGACTTTCAAGTATCCGATGATGGGATCTTGAAGTTTCGTGGACGGTTGTGTGTGCCCAATGATGAAAGACTTAAAGAGGAAATTTTAGCGGAAGCTCATCGCAGTAACTACAGTATTCATCCGGGCAGCACAAAAATGTATCAGAATCTTCGCCAATATTATTGGTGGAATGGCATGAAAGGAGATATTGCCAAGCATGTGGCTAGATGTTTAACGTGTCAACGGTGAAGGCTCAACATTGTAAACACTGGCGGACTACTCGCAACCTCTGGAAATACCAGAATGGAAATGGGAGCATATCACGATGGATTTCGTGATGGGTCTACCGAGGAGCCAAAGAGGTAATGATTCCATCTGGGTTGTGGTAGATAGACTCACAAAGTCTGCTCATTTCATTCCAGTGCGAAAGGACTTTGCCATGGACAAGTATCTTTGAGTTGTACGTGAGACATATAGTTCGTCTCCATGGCGTGCCGTGACGATCACGTCGATCGAGACCCCAAGTTCACCGCCACGTTACGGAAAAGTCTTCAAGGCGGCATGGGAACAAAGGCTGCGATGCAGACGCTTTTCATCCATGACAGATGGACAATCCGAGAGAACGATTCAGACTCTCGAGGATATGCTACGAGCCTGCGTTTTGGATTTCAAAGGGAGTTGGGAAGAACAATTGCATCTTGTCGAATTCGCGTACAATAACAGTTATCAGCAGAGTATCAAAATGGCACCTTTCGAAGCACTTTATGGCAAACCCTGTAGGACTCCTGTTTGTTGGAACGAAGTTGGAGAACGAAAGATTTCGGGACCCGAGTTGGTACAACAGTCGTCGGATGCTGTTAAAGTCATCAGGGATAGACTAAGGACTGCTCAAAGTCGCCAGAAAAATTACGCAGATAGGCGACGTAGACCATTGGAGTTCCAAGTTGGAGATCATGTGTTCCTCAAGGTATCACCGATGCGAGGAACGTCGCGCTTTGGCAAGAAAGGCAAGCTGAGCCCAAGATATGTAGGACCGTTCGAAATCTTGGAGCGAATTGGAACATTGGCATATCGTCTAGCATTGCCACCAAGGTTGGCTCAAGTACATGATGTATTCCACGTGTCTATGCTTAGAAAGTATGAACCGGATCCGACCCACATTTTGAACTACGAAGAGATCGACGTGGATGACAGAGTGTCGTACGTGGAAAGACCCGTGAGAATTGAGGATCGGAAGGAGCAGGTATTAAGAAACAAAACGATTCCTCTTGTCAAAGTAGTGTGGCAACATCATGGGACCGAGGGAGCCACGTGGGAAAGTGAAGAGTTGATGCGACACAATCCCCATTTGTTTGAATAGTTGGGTTGGGGTATAAATTTCGAGGACGAAATTTTTGTAAGGGGAAAGAGTTGTGACATTCCGAATTTTGGCACATTTTGGGATTTATAAAACGTGTAATTCGTCGGTGTGCTTATAGTAAAATCTCGCCCGGGAACTGATCACTCCCGGTTATTGTTTTTAAAATTGAGATTTCGCTAGAATCGCATTCGATCGAATTTGGCCGTTATTTAGAGCCCAAATTTTGGTGTTGAATTTCTTGGAATTCCGGAACAAATTTAATTGGACGGTGTCGATATTAGTGTGGCCAATCTCGATATTACCGGGATACGTGAAAAGTGAATTTTTGACCAAGATGCAATTTGGGTAGTAAATCATCCTGCAGTGTGTTTTTATTAACACCCTTTTTGGCCAAATCCTAAAAATATTAATTAGGATTTTTCGAGGACCGTTAGATCATTTTTGGATTCGAATCGTGGCCGTTGGATCGCGATTATTGCGATTTGACCACTCTCTCTCTCTCTCTCTCTCTCTCTCTCTCTCTCTCTCTCTCTCTCCCCGCCGGTCTCCCCTTTTTGCGTGTCTGACCCCCCCATGCGACTGTCACCCCACCCACTCTCACCAGGCCCCATCATTTCCTCTCTTCTTCCTTTTCTTTTCTTTTCTTCTTTTTCTTTTCTTTTCTTCCCTTCTTCTTCTCCTTCGCTGGTCTTGGTTCTGCCGGCTTCCGCTTGTTGCTGCGGCTGCTTCTTGCTTCTTCTCACTGCGTCGCCGGCCATCTTCGCCGGGACCAGCTACGCCGCCTTCCTGTCGCGAGCCACCGCCATCCCGGCTTCCCTCTGGCCGAGCAGCTCCACACCGGCCACGTCCTCAGCCTCGTCGCTGGCCTGTCTCGGCCAAGCGCGAGCCGCGCCGCTCGCCGGCCCAGTCGCCGCCTTGTCCCGCCGTCGCGGTCAAGCTCCGCTCGCCTCCGTCGCCCACCACCGCCGTCCAGCTGAGCTTCGCCGTGCGTCGCCGTCCACCTCCGACCGTCGCCGCTGCTGTCCCAGTCGACGGGAACAGCCAAGCCACGCCGGAGCAGCCCCCACAGCGGCTGTCTCCCTCGCCGCGCTCGTTCGCCGTCGTCCGCCGGCTGCCGAAACCGAACCGGAAGCCACCGCGGACCGCCCTTGTCGCCGCCGTCGTCCTCGCGTCGTCGCCGGCGTTAGCCGAGTAAGTTAACCCCTAATCCCGTGTTTAGGGCGTTAAACTTGCTTAGGGTAGTTTAATTTATGTTTAGTTTGTGTTAATTGTGGGTTAGTGGTTAATTAATTGTGTTTAGGGTATAAGTTATTGATTAGTTTATTGTTATTGATTATTATATGAAATGTTATTATTTTCGGAATTTAAATATTATTTTATTAGTTAATAAATTAATTCCGAATTAAATATTATTATTTTTATTATTAAATAATTAATTTCCGAAAATTAAATAGTATTATTTTCGGAAAATTTTCTAACGTTAATTGTGATGCCAATGTTGGATTTTACCGTATAAATTGGCATTTTTAGCAAATGATTTGAATGATTTTGATTTGAGAAAATATTTCGAATTTTAGAAAATAATTATTTTCGGAGATTATTAATTAATTAATTTCCGAGGTTATTTATTATTATTTCGGAAAAATCTTGAATCTCAAATTATGATTTTCAGCTTGTATGGTGACGATTATGGCGTGAATTGTTGTATTAAATTGATTAGATGGCTAATTGTTTAGAATGGAAGTTTTCAACGAAAATTTGTGGGATTAAATTATTTTTGTGGGTATGCCAAGAATGACAGTGATGCATTGTGGTTGATAAACATGTTTGGCATCGAAGTTTGCAGGAATTGATTGATTGTTTGCATGTGTGACCACTTGGTTTGTTATGCGGCATGTGAAGCACTATTCGTGACGCGTAGGCTAATTGAAAAGATAATAATTGGCCGGTATGCTTGTGTGCTCGTGTGGTCACACGTTAAAGCCGTCTTCTGTGTATCGCTTGCGTTGCCCGATTTATCGGATGCACGGGGATAATGAGTGCCGATACCCGGATGCCTTGTCGCGGCCGGCCGGACTCGATGCTCCTTACGGGATACCATCTTACTGTGTATCGTTTGATGTTGCCGTATTGGAATGCCGTCATCCCGTGTATCGTTTGACGTAGCCGTGCCCGACGGGCGGGACGGAGCCGGTTTTTACCGGTAGACCGCCATCTTGCTTGCGTATCGCTTGATGTGTGGTGGCCCCAGGGCGTAATAATTGGAATACGTGTGATGCATAGTGCTTGATTATGGGGTAGAAACCGCTAGGCATGGTATGGGACGTGCCCAGCGGGTTTTGCCTTATAATCGAGACACGCGCATGCTGTGTTGCATTAATGCATGGAAAATCTCGTTAAATGCTTCGAGTATGTGACATATGCATTTCATCAACGTGTGTACCAAGGCGAGGTGAGGATGCCTGTGGCTGTTAATGATGTTGTTGTTGCCGTTTCGCCTGTTTAGGGACCCCCGTGCGAGTTGGCCTCCTAAGCGGGGCTTAGGCCGTTAACTTATTGAGATTTTATCTCATTTGTTGTTGTTAAACCTTTTTCAGGACCTTAGCTTGTCGTTGCTTCTTATGCGGTTTGGAGTACCGCAGTTTTTGGTTGATCTTTGAGGTTAGGCACGAAAGGCGATCTTTTGGATGGAGTAGATTAACCCTAACCTTTGTCTTTTCTTTGGTTTTTGTGGAAACGCCCGAAGTGGGCACTGTAAGTATGTTCCCAGGGGTTAATCAAGTGAATATTAAAATGGCTTTTGTTATGTCTGGTTTTCCTCTGCTATCCCTGATTTAATTATTGTCTGGGGATTGTTGTGTTGGTTATCGTTTCCGCTTGCGTAATTCAAAGAATGAAAGAAAAGGGTCGGCGACGAGTCCTGGGATGTCGCATTTTAACGACCATAGCGGGATGTCGTGCGCCCGTGGGGTTCGGGGCGTGACAGGTAAATATAAGCAAATGGCTACACACAAAATTAGTACGATTTTGAGGCATACCAGTGACTTTTCTACTCACTCTTTTGATATATCATGTTCGGAATCGCCACAAAATCTATCTCCTTCTACAAAA